TCAATGCAGACAGTCTTTATCAGATAGCTGAACTCACCAAATACCTTTTCTCATTCCTGAATGCTTTTTATTGAATGCAGCAGGTCACAGCAGACAACAAGATGTGGCAGATGATTGAAAAACCGGTATTTGCAGTTCAAAACATAATAATGCTTTCCTGGATGCGAGCAGATTACATGTGGCCTAGAGACAATAAAAATAGAGTGAAAAGGAAGCAGAAGTACATCAAAGTGGGAGGGAACACAGAAAAGAAGACAGAAAACGATGGTACAATAACCAAAATAACCACAAGATGGCAGTATATTAACTAACTGTACTGAAGCCAATAAACAATGCTGTAGGGAAATTAACTATATATACTCTATATTGTCAAAAATATTGGGACGCCTGCCTTTAATGGCATCCCAGTCTTAACCTGTACGGTTCAATATTGAGTTGGCCCACCCTTTGCAGACAGCCTTCCCAGAAAAGTTGAAACTGTTATAGCTGCAAAGTATAGGAGTGTGTCTATGGGAATGTTTGACCATTCTTCCAGAAGCGCATTTGTGAGTTCAGGCACTGATGTCGGACAAGAAGGCCTGGCTTGTAGTCTCCACTCTAATTCATCCCAAAAATGTTCTGTCGCGTTGAGGTCAGGACTCTGTCCAGGCCAGTCAAGACTTGAGTTTCCTTCACTGGAACTAAGGGGTCAAGCCCAACCCCTCAAAAACAACCCCACACTATAATCCCCCCCTCCACTAAACTTTACACTTGGCAGAATGCAGTCAGTCAAGTACCATTCTCCTGGCAACTGCCAAACCTAGACACATCCATTGGACTGCCAGACAGAGAAGAGCGATTCATCACTCCGGAGAATACGTCTCCACTGCTTTAAAGTGCAGTGGCGGCGTGCTTTACACCACTGCATCCGACACTTTGCTTTGCACTTGGTGATTTAGGGCTTGGATTTCAGCTGTTCAGCCATGGAAACCCATTACATGAAGCTCTCTACGCACTGTTGTTGTGCTAATCTGAAGGCCACATGAAGTTTGGAGGTCTTTAGCTATTGACTCTGCAGACAGTTGGCGACTTCTGAGCACTGACATACGCTGACCCCCCTCTGCCATTATACTTGACCTACCACTTCGTGGCTGAGTTGTTGTTGTTCCCAGTTGCTTCCACTTTGTTATTGCTTCTAACAGTTGACCGTGGAATATTTAGTAGCAAGGAAATTTCATAGATGGACTTATTGCACAGGTGGCAACCTATCGTGGTACCACACTTGAATTCACTGAGCTCCTGAGAGCGACCCATTCTTTCACAAATGTTTGTAGAAGCAGTCTGCATGCCTAGGTACTTGATTTTATACACCTGTGGCAATGGAGGAGATTGGAACACCTGAATCCAATGATTTGGAGGGTGTCTCAATACTTTTGACAATATAGTGTAAATCCTCAATTCACAGTAATACGAACATTAACCATGAGTATGCATTCTGTTATATTTTCATGCAACAAGTGTAACAGCACAACCCTACTCTCTTTATTTTTGTAAGGTGGTGCCTGTGTTTGTGATCTATAGGTGGCCAGAGAACTCGAAGAATTGTTGAGCCTGCATAATCCCACCTTTTTAGAGAAGATCTTTTTCAGCAACTTTGGCCATAAACATGCACCAGCTGAAAATGTATGTTCATTGTTCATCATTATGGAGGAGAGAGGAGGGATTACAGTCAGATATTGTCTGAGCATGTATGTTTATGCCAATTGAGCAGAAGGAGGAGGGATTTTAGCCAGACATTTCCTGAACATGAATGTTGTTGTCTATGGGGAAAGCTGAAGGGATTGCAGCTAGATATTGCCCGAGCATGTATGCTGTTGCCTATAGAGGAGAGAGGAGGCTTTTAAAGTTGACTTGGACTCAAAAATTTAAGTTTTCTTCTGTTATAGGGAACATCTAGAAGTGTTAAGGCTGAATTCCAGGCATTCAGTCACTTTGTAAAATGTGCAGGCATACTATGAGTTAAGTCCAATGATGTGCATGTCAGCTCCTGGACTTATCTCTTTTATTTACATCTGACAGTTTAAGAAGCTCCAGGAGGATACACTCTGGGGCTTTGAGAAGAGAGATGCTGTCTTCACACACACACAGCTGCTGTGCCCTCCCCTTGGCTGCCCAGTCACAAAAAGCTTCTGTAATTCGTGAATGAGTTCACATAAAACAAAGGCTTCCATGATTGGGCAGTAGGAGAGGAGGGATGGGCACGGCAGCTGCATCGACTCTGCAGCTGACAAGGCTGACACTAGAGGATCCAGCATCGGAGCTCCAGAACTATAACAATAGCTATCTTCTGGGAGCGCCATAAAACTGTTAAATGTAAATTTACATTATAAGTCCAACTGTAATTGTGCCAAGCTTTAATTGTGACTAATCAGTACCCCTAAAAAATGTATCACTAGTCTGGTATTTCTTCTTTGCCTACAGCCTCATGGCAGTATGTTTGCAGTGCGAGATCTAAGGCATGGCTGCCTCTGCCTGCTAGACTTGTAGTAACTGTGCATGTAGCACTGCTCTACTCCAAAAGGAAACAAATTGTTGCTATAACTGCTTGTGCAACTACAGTGTGATCTACAGTTTGGCTTCAATTTATTAGTGTATTTAAATCTGCTAGTCCATCTCACGGTCCCCTTCTCCCAGACTGACAATGCTGCTGTCCAAAGGTGCCCCTGTGCTCCTTCATCCAGAGGGAGAGGGGCACTCTAAAATAGTGTTACTGGCCAGATCATAAGGTAAAGCCAGAGGTTAAAAAAAAAAACAAATGCAGCCACCACATCTAATGATTGGTAAGCTGCAATATATTACATTTTTGGTTTTGGGTTTAATACCACTTTAAAGCTGAAGTCTAGCTTTGGTACACTTTACATAGTTCACTGAGGCCCAGCTGGCACATGGGATCATGGCACATTGGATCAGTGTACCTTACATGGGATCAGGGTCCCTTACATGAGATCTGGGTACTTGGGATTAGAGCACCTTTCATGGGATCAGGGCACAAGGGAGGAGATCACCTTACTTGGGATCAGGGCACCTTACATGAGATCAGGGCACCTTACATAGCATCAGAGCACTTTACATGGGATTAAGGCATTTTACATGGGATCAGATCACCTTACTTGTGGTCAGGGCACCTTACATAGGATCAGAGCACTTTACACGCGATCAGAGCACCTTACATGGGATCAAAGCACATGGAATCAGGACACAAGAGATCAGAGCACATGGGATCAGGACACATGGCAGGGCAGCGATCACCTTCATTTGCAGAGCTGAGTCCTCTTCTGCCACACTGTTCCCCACCAGCCCCTCCACCAATCCTTCCTTCCTATCCATCCTGGGTGATTTCACATACAAGCATCCAGGATGGCCAGGAGGGGCTGGTGTCGAACAAAGCTGCACAGCTACACAAGCAGAGTCTCTGCCTGTGCATGGCAGGTAGATCACTGCAGAACCCCTGGAGACCTCTTGCGAAACCCTAGTTGGGAAACACTGCTGTAAACACACAGTACATCCTCTCCATGAAAAGCCCAGGAAGTAAAAAACACTGAAAAGGTGACCCAAGTATTTTTCCAAATCATACCTCTGAACAAAATCCTCAGGGATTGGTTGGGTCAGATACATATTCATAAGTTAGTGATTATCTTTCCTGCTATAATTACTGGACCCTCACATTAACAGGCAGAAGCAATCAACCCACTGAGATTAGTGAAGACCTGCAGTTGCTAGAAAAAGGTCAAAAAATGGTCAGGCTGGTTACAACACACACTAAGAATGCATTCACACCAGCCACTGTGTTGCAACGTATCAGCTGGTGTGCGATCTGACCGGATAACTGCAATTCAGATGCACTGATTCCAGACCATTACACTGTTCACATTTTTTAAAATAAACTTTATTGTAATGGAACACAGTGACATTTCAATAGGTTCAACTGGCCACCGCACAGTGACGGCCAGCCATACTTTGCAGCGCACATTACTGACACACCATCGCAACATGTGAAAGCTTACAGAGAAGAGGAGGAACCACACTCCATTATTAGACAAGCTTGAATGTTGATCACTATAAATTGCTGATAGGACTTTTTCCCAGAGATCAGTCAGGTTGTTTGCTGCAATGTGTATGGTCGTTTAGGATTTCCATAGATGGACATCTATGGAACATTTGAAGTACAGTTGTGGCAAAAAATGTGTAAACTCTTAAGAATTTTTCAATTCTTAAGTGGCTCCTAAACTGTGACCTATTACAAAGACAGTTGTAGTTAGGAAGCAACAAATACTGCATATTATATCATGTATATTGGTGCATTTTTACTGAAGAAATAATAGTATAAAAATTCAAGGTCATGGATGAAGGAGCTATGTAAACCTTTAGCATAATGAGTTATTCATGCAGAAAATCCAGAAAAGTTCTAAAGTTTCACAATTTTTCTTCTAATAAGTTCACAACTGCATCTCAACAACGGGAGCTCTTCAATACAAAGTCTAGGCTATATTGAATGTAGTGTAATAGAAGTGAATAGTACTTGTTCTACTCTCTAGCATTTATGAATGGGCATTGTTGATTGACCCTGGATGCTTCTCACAAGTCCTGTACAAAGCCTTAGGTTGTGCAGTCAAGGAAAAGCTTCTTAGCCTCATATATTTAACTACTTCAATACCGGGCACTTTTACCCCCTTCCTGCCCAGCCCAGGCTCTCACAGTTTGAATGACAATTGCACAGTCATGCAACACTGTACCCAAACTCAATGTTTATCATTTTGATCACACAACTAGAGCTTTTTTTTGATGGAATTTAATCACCAGTGAGTTTTTTTTTTTTGTTAACCTCCCTGAAGGTATTCCCGAGTGTAGCTCGGGGTAAAGTTTCAGTACCAAAAGCGGTAACCCCAAGCTACACTCGGGAATACCTTGCAGCGTTGCTCAGGGATTCCCTGCAGCACTTGCCTTGTCCTTCGCTCTCGCGATGCCCCTCCTGCAGCATCCCCAACTATCTCCTCCGGCCGATGCCGGCTTCCGTGTTCCGTCCCCTGCGAGCGTCGGGACGTACGAGGGTCGGAACCGGCGGCAAATGTAAAAATTTTAGAAACTGTCATTTTCTAATAAACAAATTTGACATAGTAAAACATTACTGTTTCAAACCATTTCACATACATTTTGTCCCGAGTGCTTTGTCCTGTGCCCTGCTTGCATTTTTTACTGTTCTTTCTGCCTGGAAACTGAGAAAAGTCCATGGCATCCAAAAAGCGTCCCTTTAGGTCAAAAGCGGTTTTAGACCAGCTAGAGAACAGCGAAAGTAAAGCAGAACCACTGGCAGAATTGAGTGATAATGATTCGTCTGGGAAATTCGTCACCAGACACTGAAAACGATTTTGCGACTTTGCTTAGCGATGTGCGAACTTGGCGCTATATTTCAAATTTCAGTGTTTTTGGTTTGATTATATTATTGAATTAAATTTATTATTATATTATTATTTTTATGATTATTTATTAAATTATAATTTATGATTTTGTGTTTCAAGTTTTATCCTACCCGGGATGTTTACTAGACTCTTGTTCGGACAGATTTCAGTGAGTTATTCCTAAGAATTACAAGCCTACATTAAAAAAAAATACATATTTCCATGTAATAAAATTTACCGTTTTCAGCACAGAAATCTGGACATAATCAGACCGCTAGGGAGGTTAAAAAAATAAAAATAGACAGAAACTTATAAAAAAACTATTTTTATTTGTTTTTGTTATACAATTTTGCAAATAAAATTAAGAAATTAAGAAAAAAATTATTTTTTTTTACATACTGTCACCAGCGCAGTACAGCATCATATAACTGGTGTGGCAGTGACAGTATGAATTGTTTTTTCTTTTTTAATTACATTTTTCTTTCTTTTTTTTACGATTTTATTTTTATAAAACAGTGACCACAGTAATATAATGTTACCATAGTAACATTGTACTACTGTGGGGAAATGATCAGGTTTTTTTTTTTGCTTTTTTTACACATTATGATTGTCTATTGCAGTGAATTTCACTGCTATAGGCAAACATTTAACTGAATGAAATCGATTAATTCTGTTTTTTTTGGTATTAACTGTGATTGGCCACAGCTAATTACATGACATAGATGGGCTGTGATTGTCCCAGTCTGTACCATGTGACTACTGTGACCAATCACAGTTAGCAACACAATTGTATACAATGGATGGCATGAAAGAAAGCCATCCATTGTTTACAATTGTCATGTGACCTGCTGTGATTTGTCACAGTAGTAACATAGTACTGGCAATGGACCAGTACACAGATCTGTTATCGGCCGAGGGACACAGCCGGTGACCGATCTCACCACAGCGCGGCCCCACGGACGCGCGGAAGGTGATGATCTGGGAGTACGTCATATAACGTCCACCCGGATAGACAAAAGTCCCACTCAGCCATCATTTTGCTATTGGCTGGGCGGGAATTGGTTAAAGTGATTCTAAAGACAAAGTTTTTCTTACCATAATGTGGGGGTCAGCAACCCATAGGTCACGATCTATCAGTAGATCACGGACAGGTGACCGGTAGATCGCAGTCTGGGCTTGCATCAAACAGATTGCAATGCAGAGTGACTAACTGTAAAGTTGGAGCTGTAGTAGGAAGCAAGAGCTGCATAAGCCAATGCCTACTCTCTAGTGCTGGCTCCTGTCCCATGTGGAGTGAAACCAACTGCACTCCACCTCTTATCCCAGCTAGCAGTCTCCAGAGTGGTGCCAGCAGCATAAAAGAAGAGATCTTCAAATCAGCATGAAGCAATACACAGGGCATAATAGTATGTGGCTGCTTTCACACTGATGCTCTGTGGGCGCAGTGCAGTGTAGCTGCAGCTTTCTTGCCGGTTTGCTACACTTAGCCATAAACATCTATTATATCCTTTCTGAATACTGATAGTGTAGTATTTTTTATTATTAAATCAAGCAAAGCATCCACATGGATAAAAGCATGTAATTGGCAGCTATACACTCACAAAAATGGCCGCCGGTCCACCATGCGGACTCAGCGGTGTGATGTCAGTATGGCAATGCTCCCCCTTGACGCGTTTCGTGCGCAAGCACGTTGTCAAAGGGCCCTTTTGACAACTAGCTAAAAAAAACTAGCTAGACAAAAAGCTAACTAGCTCCCCCTGGCTAACTAGAGGAGCGCTACACATATACATACTTACTTGGGTCCAAGATGGACCAATACAACTATGAAATTAAGACCTAACTCCAGATTTACTTTGACTTTATATAGATTGTTTGAGCCAAGCTGGAAAAAAATTGATTCAGGTTAGGTGCCACTCAGTCATTCACAAGAAGCCTTGTATTTATGAATGAATAAAAGGCCTGCCCATAAGGTAGAAAACTGACTTAATTTGAAGCTTGGCCCTATTTAAACTGTTTAAGGGAAAATTGGCCACATGCTAAAATGTGAGCAGGTCAATTTTTCAAAAGAGAACTTTTCTGATAATGATGCAAACTGATGGACAAATCACGATCGAAACAAGATTCCACTTTTGCCCTCTTTCTGAATCACTCTCAAAAGAAATCTCTCCATGCAAGAGATTTTACACCTCTACAGTCATTTGTATCTCATAGGCACCCCACAGAGGCATCTTATCTCAATCTCATATATGGGTTTGTTCTCCACTCACCTGCCCAACACTGGCACAGCATGCACATCATTAAAACATACTTAGGGTTGTCACTTTATTACATTATTTCACATTTGGTGGCAATGCATCAAGTTACAACACATCTGGTGAAAAGTGCACCACATTCCATTAGCTAAACCCTGGAGTACACCCCATTTCATTTTCTTTTATACCATACTTCCCTTCTCTGAGCTACTTTAAGCCACTTTTAGGCAGCTAACATACTCATACCTGTTTGTTCCCTACTGTAAGGTACTAGTTTCTAAGGTCAGACAAAGTTGTAGGACTTACTTACTAAATTCACTTTCACATGACCATTCTGCCTATATTATAAAACAAAGACAGATTGCAGACAAAAAAATGTTGGTCAGATGCTGTGTGTCTTCTGCCACAGGGGAGGAAAATACTTGTGTGGGAACCCTAGGTCTAAGGGGGGCCCCTATGGGCATGCACCCACATTCTTGTACCTTACCACACCCACCTCCCTCATCTTATTACCAATCATGGTTGTCTCACTCCTCTATCTACAGTTTATTTCTGTTAGTTCTCTTTCTCTGCTCCCCCCCATCTGTCATACGTCTCTCTCTCTCTCTCTCTCTCTCTCTCTCTCTCTCTCTCTCTCTCTCTCTCTCCATATATTCTCCTGCTCCCTCTATGATTCCATTAGGAATCTTTGTACCTTTTCTAATTCTATTTTGTATGAGTTTAGGTTATTAAGTGTTCTTGCATGGCAAGACCACTTACTGTTATCTCACATATATATTCTTATTATTATAGCCAGATTTACCACCCTAACTCCTCCCACAGTTTTTACACTACATAGACAGTAATATACCGAAACGTGAGGATTGTTCCCGATTGGATTGCTATTACTTTGTGGAACGTTTCGCCGAATGGTTCACGAAATATCGCCGTTTTTGTGGTGAAATTCGTCCCATAGGAATGAATGGCAGAATGTTCAAAACTAGTGGGAGCTGACAAAAGCTAGAGTGTGAGCTGAAAAATCAGGACATGATTTCTAAACTGCCATCACTCCCTAATTGTCAAGCCCACCTACACAAATCTTATATCAAAACGTTCAGCTATCCCTGCTGCCACTAAAAATGTCCACGGCTAAGCCATAGTCCTGATAGTTTTCACAATATGACCATTTGTTTGCAACTCATGCCGCCCATTGACATTCATTGAAACTCCACTCTAGACACCTGAAATTTGAAGGGCAATTTCTAAACTGCGACTGTGCCTTCATGTTTAATATTTCAGAGACATACTATGCATCAAAATGTAGGTCTGGGTCTTATGATTCTTATGATGAGCTCTTCGCTGTAGGATTTATAGTTTTAAAACTACAACCGTTTGAAGATGGCAACCGCCAGTGAAGTGAGCAAGTTGGAGCAGTTTGTTTTTAACCGGTCCTCTGCCCTTGCTGTAGAGTGAGTTGCCATAGGAACCCAGGTGTGTGAGCAGGCAGCAGAGTGACAAAAGCTACTCCGCCCACTGCAGTTGTAGACTACTGGTGGAGACAAGAACACTTCACACAATTTCCCCAGCAATTGTAGATGTTCTAGTTATTATTATTATTATGCAGGATTTATATTGCGCCAACAGTTTGCTCAGCGCTGTACATTATAATGGGAGACAGTACACAAGAAAGTACAGTAACAATACAATTCAATACACGAGGGGTTCGAGGGCCCTGCTCCTCGGAGCTTACAATCTAGGAGGGAGGGGATAGTGGTACAGGAGGAAATAGCTGTGGGGGATGGAGTGGTAGGAAGACTGGAGGAGATCGGCAATTAGCTGAGGGCGGGGTAGGCTTCCCTGAAGAGATGGGTTTTCAGAGTGCGCCTAAAGGTGAGTAGAGTAGATGATAGTCTGATGGATTGGGGTAGGGAGTTCCAGAGGATGGGGGGAAGCCCTGGAGAAGTCCTGGAGATGGGCATGAGAGAAGGAGACCAGGGAGCTAGAGAGTAGGAGGTCTTGTGAGGAGCGCAGAGTACGTTTTGGGTGGTATTTGGATACCAGATCGGTGATGTAGTTTGGGGCAGTATTATGAACAGCTTTGTACGTCAGTGTTAGCGGTTTGATTTTTATCCGTTGGGCAATCGGAAGCCAGTGAAGGGATTGGCAGAGGGGGGTGGCGGATACGGAGCGGTTAGTAAGGTGGATGAGTCTGGCCGCAGTATTCAGGATAGACTGAAGCGGGGATAGCCTGCAGGGAGGTAAGCCAATGAGGAGGGAGTTACAGTAGTCAAGTCGTGATATAATAAGGGAGTGAAGGAGTTGCTTAGTGGTTTCGGGGGTTAGGAACGGACGTATTTTGGAGGTGTTGCGGAGGTGAAGTCTACATGAGTTTGTCAGCGATTGGACCTGGGTCTGAAAGGACAGATTGAAGTCTAGGATGACTCCTAGTACTCTGGCTTGCGGGGTGGGACTGAAGGTTGAACTCAATTATACTTAAATTCCACAATGATGCCTGGGCAGTCTTTATTCTATTGGTCAACTACACAGGCCTATCCAGAAATAAAAAAGAATTGGGATTTTAACGGTGCTGACCCCTTCTCTCAGAAGAAATTTAACAGACAAGTAGATATAAAATCATTAGGTTTTATTACAAAAGTGCCATTAAAAGATTTTAGGAGTGACTGAATCCC